AAACACTGGCCCTACTGAGGACAAACGTGCAGATCGAGACGAGGCGACCCCAGAAAAAATCTCTTGCAACCCACCTGAGGGTCACGACCCAGTCTTTGGCATTCGATCGGTCTGTGTTTGATATATGGACCTTCATTATCAAAGTTTGGACACCCCTGCTCTAGAATAATCTTCACTTCTTTGCTTTTATTTTTAAGTATTTGTATTTTACATTTGTATAGTCATTAAAAAATGTGAGTGAAGCAGATTCCATGAGGTGAAAAACAACAGCTGTAACTTCAAAATTGGGGAAATCCAGGGCTGAAAGATGTAAATATTCTCATTAAGCACTGTTGGGCAAATTACCTCAACACTGTAATGTGTTATTATTACTTGTTATTGTAATTTTTAAGAAATTTAATACTTTACATTATTACTGCATTTAAAATGTAAGACATTACACGACTATTGCTTTACTGGCTGATTGTCAAATAATAATCAGCAAGCAAAGATGCCGAACTTTTGTGCCGTATATGGGTGGGACCAGGGCGGGACCAGGACCAGGACCAGGACCAGGCAGGACCAGGGCGAGACCAGGGCGACCAAGACCAGGCGGGACCAAAGGCCAGAGACCAGGGCGAGACCAGGGCGAGACCAGGGCGAGACCAGGGACCAGGGCGAGACCAGGGCGAGACCAGGGCGAGGACTTGGAGTCTAGGACCACCCGTGAGAGAACCCCGAGCCCGTGGAACAGGGTGTCCTCAAAGCTCAATCGGGCCTCAGCTGCACTTTGCCCAACGGTCTCCGCGGGCGCACCTTCAGGCACGTTCCGACATTCGGAACAGTAATGATGGCTTTTCACCGCTGCTGATATCGCGTGATTTTAGAGAATTTGTATGAAGAAAAACGAAAAACCCACCACAATTCATAACTTTTATAACACGTTACTCCCAACACTGTAATTAAGCTGTATAGAGTTTGAAAAGACAGTGGAGCATGTGGTTACGCAGGAAGTATTACCACTTACTGACATCACATGGAGGAACACTTTGAGAATAGAAGAAACATAGATCAAAAATGGTGCAATATACAATGTTTTAAAATCAAAACTAATTCAAAATGCTGTTTCTAACATTATTGCCACCAGCCTAGATTGAACTAGAACTGTGTGTGCTCCTATAGGCTTCATCATATAACACACTTTATATGATTTGGGCTTTAGCGCTGACCAGAAACGTCTTTCTTTTTCTAATAATGTTCCTCCTTTATTTACCTCACCGTGGAGGGCGCAGGCTTTATTAAAGGGGGATTTTTTATTACCACATGTCGTATAGTGAACGGTAATGTATAGCGAGATGTGACGATTTACGGCTACCACTCACTCTGCTAGAAATAATGGCGCAATTTTCCAGAGTCTTGATAAAATTGCAATTAGACGACAAGGCGGCTGTTGTTTATTCGTCTTGTCAACAAAGGTATTAACACATTAAAACCAGATTGAGCTGTAATTGTCGTAAACTGCAAATGGGAATACAGGGAGCGTGTAATTCGTTTGTGGCTTGTCCTGGCACCACCTTATCTTTTTCTAATGCAGGTAGACTCGTGTCATCAGTGTCAAATTAAAGCTTTTTATTTATGTTTTCTAATACGCTTCATGCAATTAGACTGAGATGTTGCTGTCGTGTGTGTAACGGTGTAGAATTAATTCTGATGCAAGAGCGAAAGCAGCGTCTGTGGATGTATTGAAAACAGGGTGGGGTAAAAGTATTGAAAACCTGATATTAACTACAGTATTTTTTGGACTATAAATCTCACTGTTTTCCATGGTTTGGGTGGTCCTGTGACTTATACTCCGGTGCGACTTATATGTTAAAATTTTCAGACTGACAGCCGTGAGAGGGCGCTCTAGTCTTGTGTGCTCCTGTATCACTGTCACTTCACTCTACTGCGCATGTCGGCTGCAGAAGAAAGACCTTTCTGTACTACTGACATTTTAAAATTTAAGTGACTTCAGTGACAACCGAAACCATCCTGTCGAGATTCATTATTCTAACTGGAACTGATGCTGAGTCTGATGACGGCAGAAGAGGAAGCGGCTCTCCAGTCACCTCTGGAGGTCGCAGAGTTGCTCAAAAGTGACACAGAGGATGAAGACTTCTGTGGATTTAGTGCTTTGGCATGAGATAAAATGTTTGTTCAGTTGTTTATGTTATAGTTTATCTGAAGAACTGTTCATATGTGACGTTAACAGCCTGTTGTTCTCTGTTCTATTGTTATTACTATAAGTTGCCTTTCAAGATAAACTGTCGGTTCCTGGTCTCTGATTATATAAAATAAATTTCCCCCCAAAAGTGCAACTTAGTCTTGTACGACTTATATATGCTTTTTATTTTTGTCATTATGCATTTTTTGGTTGGTGCGACTTAAACTCCGGAGCGACTTATAGCCCGAAAAATACGGTAGTATCAAAACTAGATACTAGTTTCGGTTTCATATGTTTTTATTCATGTATAAACAGATATAGATATGTCATTCAAACCACACATGTACACACACTTTTTTTCATTTTTATGCAGATAAAACATAACTTACAAAACTATCCATCCATGCATCCATTTTCTTCCGCTTATCTAAGGTCGGGTCGCGGTTGCAACAGTCTGAGGAGGGCCTCCCAGACTTCCCTCTCCACACACACGTCCTCCATAACTTACAAAACTAACAAAAACAAATCACTCAAAAAATACAAGTAGCATCATCCCATATAATTATAATAATAATAATAATAGAATGATAAAACTAGATACTCATTTAAGCATGTATTGATACTAAAGTCTAGAATCGTATTAGAATAAGATTTAGTTCTTGCTTGAATGAATAAAAAATAATAATATCGACTAAAGCTACAAAAGACTATAGACAATAGACTAGTATACGCCCATGGACCAATAAGGAACCTATAGTCTTTATTATTGTTGTAGCGTCAGAACATGAATTGAGTGTCTAGTATCCACTGTGTTCCTCAGTATCGAAATCAAGTTTGAAAGTTTAATTTTATGACAACATTAGTATCTGAATAGTGCTGCTTGAGATTGTAGTAGTCTGAATCGCCCCTGTCTTTGGGCAAGGCAGTGTCCTCTTTTGGCACCAGGTCTTAATCTGACAGGGGCACAGGAACTCCAGTCCATATTCATCCCAGTCGCCTCTGATCAGTGAGAACAGGCTGGTTCATGCTGTGGGCACAATACATAAAGTCCATCTCAGTACACTGGAAAAATGAGAAGGAATACCAAGAGTAGCTTCAACTCAAAATATGATTCTTAATCTTTAAACATAACATTTTTATTGAGCCAAAAGGTAAGGATTAACAGCGCTCAATGCTTTTTGGTGTATAAAAGTTCAAATAAAAATAAATCTCACAAAACTAAGAACAAACATAACAACAGCCTGCGGAGGAACATATATCTGAAGTGAATTTTGAGACGTTTCTCACATAGTTACAGATTGTAAAAAATCAATAAAAGGTTGCCACGCTTTCTGGAATGACAGCTTTTTATCCTTTAACAAATATCGTATTCTCTCTAGATATGAAATATTAGCAAGGTCTCGTAGCTACTGACGGCGCCTTCTTTGCATTACTAAGACAATAAGAAATGAATTGCTTTTGGGCTGATGTCAGATGATTAAATACTTCTGATTAATCTTTTAGTATCTCTCTTGATTAATCTAGTTTTACTTGCTTCAACATGTCCCTGGCTTGTTTTTATACATTACATTTTACTTGCCAATTGGGTAAGCAAATTGCACTTACCCCATATTATTTTGGGATCTGACAGAAATCTCAAAACAAGATGTCAAATAAAAATAAAAATTCTGAATTGAACTCTTAAACTTAATCTCAATGTGTGTTCTGCTGTCTGTTTTTTTTTGCTTTGATGGAATTAATGTCTCTTTATTAAATCCATATCTGTTCTTTTCTTGTCAGGGCTCTCTGACAGACCACCTGAAGGGGAACTCTGTGTCGTGGACAGAGTTGTGTCACATCGCTGAGACCATGTCCCGTGGTCTGGCCTATCTCCACGAGGACATCCCCAGCTACAAGGGAGAGGGCCCCAAACCCACCATCGCACACAGGTACAGCAGGGGGCGCTCATGTGTGTGTCTCTGTGTGTGTGTAAAACCAAAGATAATGTTTTGATTCAGCAGAAGATCACAGTGCAATAAGGCTACACTTATGTTATGAATGTTTAAGTATTAGTATATTAGTATTCATGGATTTCAGTTCCCTGTTATATGGGGCCATTTGAGGACTGTTTACTACTTTAAAGCTACAATATTTAGTTTTGACTTGTTAATCGCTATCTTCACTTTCACCATTCTGACTCAAGTCTCAAAATTATTATTTTTTTACAGTTGTTTTTGTGTGTGTGATGATTGTGGAGAGAGTTTTTTTTTTGTTTTGTTATTTGTTTTGTTTTTTTGTCCATTTTTGTTTTGGTCATGTATAATTTCAAAGGTTATGTTTATCAATTCAAAATGCACTGATTTCTGAAATTCTAAATGAATCTAAGGCTCCGTCCACACTAGTACGTATTCAAATCATTTTCGTTGCGGCTGCAGTGTTTGTCCACACTAATCCGATTGAAAATGTCTCCAGAGACGGAACGATCAGGTGCCGCCAGCTCCCACGAATTCAGCTGAGTACAGATCTGATTGGGTGTGGACGCCTGAAAACGCTGATACGCTGATGTAGGTCTATGCGAAGTAACTAATTCACCGCCAAAACACTAAGAGGCTAGAATATATTCATATATACGGTCTATGCGTATGACCTGCAGACGTATAATCTCTGAAAAGTTTAATATGAACCACCTCTAACGCGATAGAAACACAGAACAGACTCACCATCAGCAGAACACCACTCTGTCACAGAAAGAACACATATAATCCACTGAGTCGTGTCCTTTAGTCCGACAGAAGCTGAACCGCATCAGTGCACAATAGCGAGCTGTTTTTTGAGCTCTTAGTTTATGCAAATTAGCCATGCGGTTTTAAGTTTAGTTTCTGTAAAATGTAAACAAATATGCTCAAAAGTGTGCGGATAGTGAAGGCTTGCGGACACAGAAACGACGTGTGTGGACGCAGATCGTTTCTGATCCGGTGATACAGTGATACGCGGATTCGTTTCAGTGTAAACGGGGTCTTAGAAATAATTTTTAAGTTGCAAAGAAATAATAATCAAAAGGATGTATGGATAGCAGATTTCATAGTAGTTCATATACATTAATCATTTATAATATTGGCACCAAAAAAAATTATTTAACTACAATTATTATAGATTCTTAACATGCAGGACATTCCAGCATACTTGGTCATACTCCACTGGTATGAAAATATATAGCCAATGTAGTAGTAGTAGTAGTAGTAGTAAGTAGTAGTAAGTAGTAGGTAGTAGTAGTAATTAAAAAACTATAGACTATGCATTTTATTTCCAGAAATTTCAGCACTTTTCACTATGGCGTCTATATTTTAAGAGCTGAATTAACTTTTTAACTTGTTCATCTTTCTATAATGTTTAATGTGAGAATTTGTCCTTCTGAGGCGTTCCATAGCAGTGACAAATCTCTTCTGGTGATGTCAACACGTGAAGTGAAGTGAAATGTTAAAAATGTTGAGTGAAATTTTTTAGGTGCTTGTTGTAAAACTCAATGATGGTTGACTACTTAGCATCTTTTAGGAAGTGTTGTCCTTGAAATACCTGTACTTCTTAAAAAAAAAACAGGATCCTGGGGTATGAACATTCACTCAGTCTGAATTAGTTCTGTTTCAAGGATATTTTGATTTCAATTTAATTTCTGTTTAATTAGCCCACTATATAAAGATTGATGCTTTTTAACTCTGAATTTTCAGTAACCCAAAAATGCTGATATTATATGGATTTTTAAGCTGCACTACGTAAACCATGTAAAAATCATTCTTAAATAAGACTATTATTACTTCAGAATATTATTACTCAAGTAGAAGTACACAGTAAGGAAATGAGCAAATGTAAGTGGCAGGTCAAAAACTTTAAATAATACACAAAATTTAGTATTTTCATATGATGGACGCAAAAATGAGAAACTAAATCATGTCTGAAGGAGCTACTCAAGAGTACTGTTACTTCAATAAAAAATATTACTCAAGTAAAAGTATGTTGCTAGAAAAGTACTCTGAAAAGTACAAATTAAAAAAAAACTTTACACAAGTAAAAGTAACTGGATAAATGTTACTTGACTTACTACCCACCACTGCTCATGTTTTTGTTTTTCCAGCAATATTCCACAATATGGCATTAAATTCATATAGCATTTTTAATTTTTATTGGCACAAAACTCTCTTGGAAAAAACATGCACTCCTTTCGTGAGCAGCATTGCCTCTCCACTGATCTGACACATAACCTCACCAAATGATTGACAAGTTAAATCTCCATGGAGACGAGCGGAAAAGTTGCATAGTGAACATTTTTTACATGGACAATAAATCTGTGTATCGTTCAATTTTCAAAATAACACCACAAAGGAAAAAAGGAAAAAAATCAAAAATAAATAAATAATATTTTCTTCATTATTTGTCTCCAAAACCAAAATGAAAGAACGGATAACGATTCATTTTTTTTTTTTCAGTTTTCGATTTTGTGTTTAAATGAATAATGGGGAAAAATGAATCCAATCCGTGTGTCATTCATTCATTCATTTTTCCAAATAAAACCAAAAACAACTATTTTCTTCATTATTTGTCTCCAAAAACAAAATGGAAAAAAATGATAACGACCGTTTCCCATTTCTGTGACTTAAAGTGTGAAGCCGGGCTGAACCAGGACTGAACCAGGACTGAACCAGGACTGAACCAGGACTAAACCAGGACTAAACCAGGACTAAACCAGGACTAAACCAGGACTGAACCAGGACTAAACCAGGACTGAGTGCCTAGAGGGTGCAGAGGTGTGCCCGCATACACTGTCGGGGGACCGGGACCGGGACCGGTTCAGTCTGTACGCGGTGCGAGAGTCCGGCATCGCAGTTAAAGTCACGGAAGTCAAATTTTTTTATTATTCATTTAAACACAAAATCAAAAAACTAAAAAAATTTAATCGTTATCTATTTTTTAATTTTAGTTTTGGAGATAAATATCGAAGAAAACTTGTTTTTGTTTTTTTATTTTTGTTTTTATTTAAAAAAAACGAATGAACGAATCTTACACGGATTACAATAAAACACCCAAACAGACATTGTTACTTGATAATTGATTTTCAAATGAGTCATAACTTTGTATTCTTGCAATGTAAAACAAGTTTCATAAAAGGGATTCAGTTCAGTCACAGTCTACATATGCTCGAGATACGGTTGCTTTAAATCCATAAACCAGTTAGTCCCTTGCGAATAAATTAAAATCAGCAGATCTCGTTATGAAAATGCTATGCAAATAATTGTTACCGTGTCTGCTGTGTTTTGAGTGTGCATTTCTGATCACGCTGCTAATGACTGCTAGCTCTTTGAAGCCCGCAGATTAAGTACGCCTGTGTGTATAAACGATAAAACAACAGCTGGCGTACAAGCTAAACTAAACGTCTCCATAAAGGCTCCATTGTCACGACTTTGTTTCCTGGTGAAATCCGCAGAGACTTCAAGAGTAAGAACGTGATGCTGCGCGATGATCTGACGGCCGTGATCGGGGACTTCGGGCTGGCTGTGCGGTTTGAACCAGGGAAACCTCCAGGAGACACGCACGGACAGGTACATAGTGGCTTTAAGCAATTCATGATCAAAGGTGCACTAAATGTTGTTTTATTTAGTAACACTTTACAGAGGGATCGACATCAGTAGAATCCAGTGTTGTCACAATAGTGAAATTTAATAAAGGAATCAACTCTATGCCAGTTCAAATACCACAATAATAATAGGAAAAGGAAAGTGAGTTTCAACATAAAATAATACTTTCTTTTATAATAACTACCGATGTAACGATATCCAAATCTCACATTACGATATTTTCACGATATACATCTCAAGGTGCAGTATTTATTGCGATTGTGGAGGCTAACAAAATTGTGAATATGCTACTTTTTTCTCTTAAAATACCTTGATAAGACTTAAAAGTGTTTAGAATTGCTATTTCTTCCTGTAGTTTGCACCAAAACGGAGCAAAGGATCATGGTCGATGTAGTTCCCTCTGTCTTTTTAGCTATTGCTGCACCATAACAATGAATTTAAGCAAAGAAACTTGTGATTCGATATATTGTGATGGTCCACGAAATTATTGTGAGACTTTTGACGATACGATATCACAGTATTTTGGTTATTGTTACACTTCTAATATTAACATGTGGACTTGTGTCTGTGTAATCCCTTAGTGGTCCAGGTAGGTTCCGTAGTGGTCCATGGACGTATACTAGTCTATGTGCTCTTATACTTGTTCTGATACAGCTCAAGATCATTCTAAAGTTATTTTTTTACTATTGATACTTGTTCAAATGAGTATCTAGATTTGATACTAGTTTAAGTTTCGATTAGGAGCTCATTTTTTATTATTTTGACAACCTTATGACTGATATGATATGGTTAATCCAAAATATATACAATGCTGTTTTAGTATTTTGTATTGAATCAGTCTTTATTTGCAACAATCAAGTGACCAAAGTGCGTTACATCAAAAACAAAACAATATAAAAACTTGCAAAAACATTAAACAATGAACTAAAACTTAAATGTGACTACTCGTCCTTACCTTACCTACTCGTCTCTTTCCCTGTGCGTCTCAGGTGGGCACGCGGCGGTACATGGCGCCGGAGGTCCTGGAGGGGGCGATAAACTTCCAGCGGGATTCTTTCCTTAGGATCGACATGTACGCCATGGGTCTGGTGCTGTGGGAGCTGGTGTCCCGCTGCTCCGACTCAGAAGGTAAGAAAATGGCTAAACGGAGGGGAACTTGCATGAAACTTTATCAAGACAATAACTTAATCTGATGCAGGTGATCTCTTTTACTTATGGCCCTAAAGAAGAAGTAAAACTATAGTAAAGACATGTTTGAAAAGGAGTGGGTGGAAGCATAAACACATCACAATACTGAAAATTTCAAACTATTTCGATGCTGAGGACTAGATTCTATACTCTATACAGATTCCAATTAGCCAGGCCAGCACCTCCTAGTGTTTCCACTCAATTTCATTTCTCTCCAGCGACTAGGTCAGGAATCAGAATACACTAGACGGTTTGCAAGAAACCTGGAAGTGTGAGTCCGGGCACCAGCCAATCAGCGAAAAGCCATACATTCTGTGTTGGCAATGATTCCCGAGATCGAGGATTTAAATCTGGAACAAAGAGAATGTTTGGTGAATTTTATCAAGGGGAAAAATGTTATTGCCCTTCTTCCTACGGGATTTGGGAAAAGCTTAATATACCAGTTAGCCCCGTTAGAGGTGCATTACATACGTCATGGCCAAATAGCAGCGATTGGTTAAATTTAAAAAAGTACCCACCTACCGTCGAGCGAACGAATCCTAATGCTGCGAGGTCAAACGGTTTCCACTTCGTGAAAACGGCTGATGAATCAGGCTAGATTCCAATGCGACTATGATGAAAACACAAAAAACAGACCATAGAATGTGATAATCAATATTCCTTTTCAACATCTCTTTAGTCTATGTGCTCTTATACTTGTTCTGATTCAGCTGATTCTAAAGCTATTCAGGAAAGGTTCATTTCTGTCCTGTGAATGTGAGTTTTTTAGTATTGATGCCTGCTCTAATGAGTATCCAGTTTTAATACTTACTTTAGTATCGATTGGTATCAAATTTTCAATACTTCTGACAACCTTAAATCACGCTAGTTTTATCAGTTGCCAAAATAATATGTAGTTGCAGCCCTAAATCTAATACATAGACATATATGAACCTATCACTTTGTAACATTTTGTTCTTAAAATGTTCAGTGTCTCCCACAGAAAATTGGTTGGTCAAGGCAAGCTCCACGTGCAAAAACTGAGGACGGCTGACACATCGGTAGCCGTGATAAGAACCTAGTTAGCCTATCTTAATGAAACAGAATATATCAAGCATTTGGTAAGACACTCAGCTCAAATGCGAAGTTTAGACGAATAATTATAATTATTCTTTACGTGTCTTTACGTTTTCGTCCAGCTATCCAGATTAGCTTCCCTCCCGATTAAAAAAAAAAATGATGTCAGCCACGCAGCACAGCAGATGATAGATGGCGCAGTAACATTTTTAAACAACAGATGCCGCTATTCAGCTTCATCGCAATGCATACTCACTCTATGCATGTGGGGATGCAGGTTTTTTGGGTTTTTTTCCGGAGGGACGTAGACAAGGCGAGGGGCAATTGTTGTCAAAGTGACTGCCATAACTATAAAGCGCTGCGGGAAACACTGATGTTCGTATTAACCACATCCACAGGATTTTCCCTATTTCCCTATTATCCGTAAACCAATTCCTGTTCTTAATTTGGAACTCTGCTACAAATTCGCCCCTTTATCTTGCATCGTGAGCTTCATTCCCTCAGTCCGCTTTTTTATACAGTCTATGGTCTAATCACAATAGTATTTTCGTATCATGTTGGTCTACGTTGCCCCCGTCTTTGGGCAAGGCGGTGTCCTCATCTGGCACCAGGTCTTAATCTGACAGGGGCACAGGAACTCCAGTCCATATTCATCCCAGTCGCCTCTGATCAGTGAGAACAGGCTGGTTCATGCTGTGGACACACTTATATATAAGATACAACTTTCTCTGTAATTTTGAAAGTAGCGTACGATACATAACCCCATGTAAACCATTCATATTTCAGCCTTGGTACATGAATGAAGTTGCAAAGTGTTTTACAGTTCAATAACGGGCCAATCCTCTTCTCATAGAAAATTATACAAAATGGTAATAAAAAAGGCAACTGAGAATGTGAATTTGAAAATGCTGCAGGGAAAGGAATGTATTACAAGTATAAGCGTTCACTCATTAACTCTGAATGAATGTGTGGGTGTCAATTGGCTGTAATACTATTGCTTCGGAAATGACTTGTTAAAAACTACCTCGGGTATCACATTTTCCCATTGCCCCAAAAGTTCTATGGAAATAGTGAATGCATTATGTGCTTTTTGACAGGGTTAACACATGATCAAGACTAGTGTGTGCAAGTATTGTTGTTATAAGTTATGAACAAAGACTTCATTTATAATTAACTTGAGCTCAGAGATGGGCAGAGTAGCCAAAAATTGTACTCAAGTGTAAGGGCCTGTTTACACGAGAACGCTTGCAGGTAAAAACGACAAAATATCAGAAGTGCCTTTCATTTAGATGGTGACTGCTTTTTGGGGCTTAAAAACACAAAATTCTGAAACCACCCTCCAGAGTGGAAAAGCTGAATACGCTCCACTGTAGTGTTTCCGTCTACACTGCCCAAGATGCAGAACTCTGGTCAGATCTGCTCACGTCTCGTACATGTTTACGTCACATACATGCAATACACAGAAAAAATGTTGGATCATTTCCATGCGTCGGACCTTCAAGCTCCTCTGGCAGCTCTAATAAACTTACAGGAGGCAGCCCAACAAATGTACAGAATATGCAGAGATACAATTAATGAACAGAGAAGGATCTGCAATCACCTCTGTCAAATTCTGGATGCACCAGTTCGTCGCAGGCGAGCCAAGACGACTATGGACGAGACCTGGGAATTCCACACACTTTTGCGTCATGCATGTAGATTTCCTCACGAAAACGCTCGTCTAAATGCGAAAGAAAAAGTGAAGACGAGACGCCACTGTTGCATCTTCTGTTCAGACTGTTATCATATAAACGTAGCCTAACATTACTTCAAAATATTACTCAAGTAGAAGTACAAAGCAGATGTCCAAGAAGTTATTCAAAGAAGCATAAACCAGTATTTGGGAAAACTTTTACACTTAACTTTAGGAATAACTATCAAGATGTAACATTTGATTCAAAATTTGAAGTTATTATATCATATTTTCCGGGCTATTAGACGCTCTTAAGCCTCCAACCCCACCAAAAAACGATCGCGCGCCCCACAATCCAGAGCGCCCTATAAACGAATCCACTCGGGTGTCCCAGCACGACTTCTGTAAACTACAAAGCCACACCACCCGCAGCGCACGCAAACACACACGGAGCAGACAGCGACCGTGTAGCGAAACACACCCACAGCCACACTCATCACTCCACACAGACGAGGAACGGAACGGAGGAACGAACCGAAAAAGCGAGTCCAATGTGCCACTTCTAGCCACAACTGAACAACTGAGTCACTGCGAACACGCCGACAATCCAGTGGTCCCAGACAGCACCCTCCCTACACGCCACAACTGAACAAAGCCCAGAGTCACCGTGAACGCGCCAAACAAAGTCCGACTGACCCATCCAACTGTTGTGTTTCGTTTAAAGTCCATTGCGGTTTATTTGTGAAAAAAGTTTGAAAATAGACCATTTAATGACTTATAATGTCTTATAATCCAGAGCCCGGAAAATACAGTAATGTTTATCTAAACCATGTCTGAAGGAGCGAAGAAAAACAAATGTTCAAATAATTTAAGATTGTCAACATAAAGCTTTTGTCTCTTAGATTTACTCAGTGAGGAGAGTAAACAAAACTTATATTCAAGTAAGAATATTGTTACTTCAACAAAATGTGTTTCTCAAGTAGAAGTATGCTGCTAGAACAGTACTACGCACCTCTGTTTTATACACTGCGAATACAAATACTACGACCTTGTTCATGTTTTATTGATGCTAATTAAAGTGCTGCCAATAGGTGCAAGCTAAAAATAATTTCAGTATTTTGCATGTCAAAGCCAAAATGAGCATTCCACTTTCCGTGGGTCAAAGTTCAGTGTGTCCCAAAGCTGATCAAATAACGCAAAGATAAGTCGTGTTTTGTGTTGTCAGGGAGAGTTCAAAGGTCAAGTGTGTTAAACGCGTTCACAGTCATGTTTGTTTTTTTCCTCTTCGCTTCCGCCGCCTAATGTCATTTCCACCTTGCCTCTCTCTTCCTGTGCTTCAGGTTTGGCGACAGAGTACATGCTACCGTTCGAGGATGAAATTGGCCAGCACCCGTCCCTGGAGGATCTGCAGGATGCGGTGGTGCACAAAAAGATGCGTCCAGCCATCAAGGACCTGTGGCTCAAACATCCGGTGAGTATGAAACAAGAACGACAAAGGTATTTTTAAAAGTCAGCCTGTTATGCAATATTGACTTTTAAAAGCTTTTAACCATGTTTATTTTTTCCTCTCTTACTCTCAAAGTTGTATTTAGTGTGATTCATTCATGCCATTACTCTGATTAAACCTTGTATTCACCGCCATGGTGCTTTGTACTTCATTCACCAAATGTTTTTTCTTAATTTGTGATCAACACAAGTCTCTTTGTTGTGATGACGTTTGCGATGACGTCAGCTCCCATTGGGCATCACTGTTTTCGAACACTGAAGTCGGCGGCCTTGTTTCTTTTTATTGATGCGATATTCTCGATCCTTTCACTCAGCCCCAGCTCAAACTGTACGAACAAATCACAGGGTTTAAAAGTTCACAGCTCACGATTCATGTTCTCTATACGAACGACTTCAACAGTGCAAAACCCTCACGAGAGGCGACTGGATTTCCAAAAGTTTTGATATTCTTGCAACTTACGATTGCCGATTGGGAGCTGGTCGTGAAGTATTAATCGGTTCTCGTTACCCCATGTTTACTACACGAAGTACGACACATGATTAAGCCAAAACTCAATCCCAAAAACAGTCGCACGAGTGAAAAATCTGCTTAAAAAAGTCTCAGTGTACGCCCGGATTAAGTTGTAATTGATTGAGTGCAACTGAAACCACCATTACTGAATACAAATGTGAATTTTCAGAAGAAGCTGATGTCTTTATAATTGCCCCGAAGAAGTTACTAAAGTTATTGTGATCTGGCTCCCAAGGAAATTCTGATCAGAATTATTTGGCCTGTCGCCTACCCCAGTTATTGAACAATAAGACCACAGTCATGACCAATGTATAGCTGCACTGTAAGGGTGTAACGATATCCAAGTCTCACGATACGATATCGTCACGGTATGAACCTCACGGAACGATATTTATTGAGATATTGTGGAAAAGCTCACGATATGGTGGTGAGGCTCACGATTAGGGATGTAACAATATCCAAATCTTTCGGTACGATATTTTCATAATATACATCTCACGGTTTGATATTTATTGTGATATTTTGTGGAGGCAAAAACAAAACTGTTAATATGCTACTTTTTCCACTAAAAATGCCAAGTTGACAAGACTTAATCCAAAGAACTAAGACTTAAAAGTGCTTAAAACTGTTATTTCTTCATGTGGTCTACACTGAAATGGAGCAAAGGATCATGGTCTATGTAGTTCCCTCTGTCTTTTTGTAGCTACTGCTGCACCATAAGTCTTAATTTAAGCAAAGAGACTTGTAATTCGATATATTGTTATGGTCCACGATATTATTGTGAGAACTTTGATATCATATTCATCTATCTCCATGGTGACAAAGTAGGTGACAGGTTAGGTCCGTGGAGAGGCGACCCCACTGATTGTCAGGGTGCATTCACACTAGCACAATCACTACATCAAAATTGAGACTAATATGGGACAAAATCTGGACTGAACATGACTACTTTAAGAATACATGTTTTTCAAGGCATTTTTTGTAGCAATAAAAACACATACAGTGGAATAAATACATAAATGAGGTCTTCAATGCCTTAGCGTAAAACCTTCTCATTAAACCGAGCTTTAAAGAGAAGAAACAACAGGAGGTTTCTCAGATGTGGCTTTTTCAAGTTAATGGTTGAGCCTTGGTTCACAGCTGTTGCACACAAGATTTTTTATATATAGTACTCAATGGAACTTGCTTTTAAGATTTTCTCAACATTTTTATGTAGCTGCATTCTCAGAAAATGTATTAGCAATTTGACAGTGTGATTTTTTTTTTTTTTTTTTCCAAGAAATCCTCCAATGCCATTTATAAAGAAAAAATATGACTGAGATTTATTGCACAGCCTTTCCAATAGGAACATTCAGTCCACTATAGTCCTATATAATAATTATGTTGGGTTGTTACATACATCTCTAGTACAGTAATGCCTTTTCAAGACTAAATAGATTGCTTTGAAGAGGGCTTAAGTACTTTTATGAGCTTTTAGCCGTGTTTCTCCTTCATCTTACGCAGAGTTGTATTTTGATTAATCACATAAGACATATTGGGCATCTACCATATAGTATTTATTTATATTTGGACATTTTAAACCACAATATTAATCTGAAATTACTTTGGTTTCGCCGTAAACATCATCATAACAAAGAACTGCACAGTTGTCGGGCCCTCCTAATGGAAAGGTGCACATCACGCTAGAGTAGATTTTTTATTTTATTTTTTATTTTTATCCCATCTGTACCAAAATCACTACACAAGGCTTCCGAATCGTACATGTGTCACCCATGAGTAGGCCTGTCATGATAATTAATGTATCAACATCAACTGTCAACAATCATTCAATATAGGAAAGCTGGAACACTATTTTCTGGGGTCAGTTTTTATCATGTGTACATTTTCTTTGCACCTCTGGGAAGTGTTTTGGTAATTTTTTGAGTATATGATCAAATTGAAGCCATTAAATGTTGAATTAATGACTTCTATAACTCAGTACAGATGCAAACTAAGTACTTAAGTGTTTCATTCTGCTATTTATTTATTGCAGCTTGTGATTTTTTTAAAGGTGTTTTGTGTGATTTTTCTGGTGGAGAGCACGCCACCCGTTTTTCTCCATCTCAAGGTTATTACTTTGTCTGGAATTAGACACTTAGACAAACTTTAAATAATTTCCCTTGTGGATCAATATTTTTTTTACAGTATGGCATTAAACATTTCTATCTTCATGGAGACCAAACCAGGCCAAGTTACAGGTCAGATTTGTAAAGAGGCACCCGCTCACAGTCAGAATACCTGTTTTCTAGGTAATTTTGAGCTATAAAACCACCTGTAATTTAGTAAATGTAAGGTAGATCTGTTTAATATCATACTGTGGAACATTCCAGGCAGATTAATTAACAATAATGTACATTTAGAATACTTTTGTTGTTTAAATCTGCTCAGTGGTGTAAGTTTAGTTTCAATATTATCGTCTATATAGTATTTACTTCAAAGTTTGTTATGGTGACAGGTCTACACATGAGATTCGAAGGGGAGCCTGGTGTACGTGTTTTTATATACGGTCCCTGTCTTTGGGCGATGCAGTGTCCTCTCCGGTCGCCTCTGATCAGTGAGGACAGGCAGGTTCATGCTGTGGGCACACTTTAGTACAATGTTCTAGTTTTGGCGTATCATTGAATACATTAGTACATCTATACATATTTCTGCAGTGGGTGCCTCAATGTGCAGTTTTCTTTTCTGGTTAAAGTACACACAAAATAAAAATACATATAAAAATCACTGGAAACAAATATCCAGGAATACTGAGTGCACATTTGGATACCACAAGGATAATAAACACTCTTTCTTTAGACAACAGAATGTGATTTTCAGCATTAAAGGCGCATTGCGTAGCTTGACTGGTACATGGTCGACGAATGTTCTACTGCAGTATTGTAATTAACGAACTTGCTTATCTCCACGGAGACAAGTTACAGGTCAGATCTGTGAAGAGGTGACCCCAGTAACAGTAATGCATGATTCTGGAGTTGTTTTTTTTTTTCTTTTTCTCAGTTAAAAGACCCATAACTAAATAAATGCTAGATCGATGTTTAATTATATTGTGTAACTTTCCAGGCAAAGCAATAACATGTCCATTAGGGCCATTAGGTGTCATTCAGAAGTTGCCGATACGATACATATCTCGATACAGTGAGCTTATGATTCGATACGATATATTTCAAATCGATTCAATACGGTTCGATTAAAAATAAAGACTGTCTGTGATACTAAAAGTCTTTGTTAAACCACTTCTTGTGCAAAGGGAATATGGAATACAAACATTTTAATCATCAAAAGAGCGAATATGTCAAATGTGTCACATAAATGAGTTTCCTTCCTCTGAACAAGCAACAAAACTGTTGAACTGTAACAAAATTATTTAGTAAAATATACCAAAAAATATTCTTGGTGATACATTGATACAGCAGCCCGTGATATCGATACCGTATCATCACATTAAACTAGGGGTCTCCAACCTTTTTCCTCGGGTGAGCTACCTTTGCAAAACGAAAATTCCAGAGAGCTACTAATTTTATCGGTCGCAGGAAATAAAGTGTACACAAGATCCATGGCAAGATTTAGATGGGTTACAGTTAGATAAAACATAAAACATTATTTATTTATGACTGCACAAAGTCAGGCATCAAAATGATTCTTTTACAATAATAATGGGCAATAGGCATTTAATTCATCAAATTTGAATTATTCAGGACAATGCGTATAATTCAGAAATCCCTTGGCGAGCTACTTGAGAGGGGGTGGAGAGCTGCTGGTAACTTCCGAGCTACAGGTTGGAGACCCCTGCATTAAACGATACGATATATTGAATTGTATTTTTGCCCACCCCTAATTTCCATGGAAACAAGCAAATGGCTGACCAGAAAAGTTGCACATTGCACCTTTTAAATAAAAGTACTTTGTTTTAAGTTACCATGTGGTCTTATATCTGTGTAATCCCTCAATGGTTCAGGTAGGTTCCATAGTGGTCCATGGGCGTATATCAGGGGCAGACTGGGACCAAACAATGACCCTGGAAGTGCAATTCGGCCAATTTGGTCAATTTTTTTTAACCTGGATGTACAGATTGCCAGTCCGCCCCTGGTGTGTACAAGTCTCTGTGCTCTTCTACTTGTTTTGATACAGCTCAAAAGCTATTCAAGAAAGGTTAATTTCTGTCCTGTGAATGCGACTTTTTTTTAGTATCGATACTCGCTAGAATGTATCTAGTTTCAATACCACGTTTAATATCGACTAATATCTGATTTCCAATACTCTTCTGTGTCCTTCAGGGTCTGGGTCAGATGTGCGAGACCATAGAGGAGTGCTGGGACCACGACGCGGAGGCTCGACTTTCGGCCGGCTGCGTCGAGGAGCGGATCGTCCAGATCTCCAGAATCACCAGCGGGCCTACCTCCGACAACCCCGTCTCCATAGTAACGGCTCTCACCAACGAAGACCTACCTCCCAAAGAGTCCAGCACCTGAGCGCCACTCTCCCCGCCAGTTTTTTCGCCCCTCCCTCCCCGCTCCTTTCCCCACGAACTTTTTATTCAAATCCAAACTCAGCGGTGAAAAAAAAAAAAGCGTCATGAATGCAGCTGCTATTTTAATACCCCCCTTTGCCCCGTCGTTAGGTTGTTTTTACGTAACAAAAACCGGATGACGCACAAAACAAAATGGAGGACAAAGGCGAGTCTATACAGGCCGGATGCAATTTTGAAATGAAAATCCCAAACTGAAAAGCTCATTTTTATTAGCAGGTAAGCAAGCAACCTTGCTCATTATTTTTACAGCTAAAAAGCCTGACTACTTACAAGGTTAATGACTCTCAGAACTGGCTAAATTAGATCAAATCCAATTATTTTCTAACCGTACAAAATGCTTTTCGAGGAATCAGCTTTCCACTAATCAGACGTGTGCCCTGTTCAAATTGTAAGAGTTCTCATAATTATTTTCAACCAAATTTGATTAGAAAATAAGAGGTTCTGGCACCTTATGAACTTAAAAAATCATCTATATTTCATTTATCTTATTTTTGATACATAACGCAAATTTAAATGAAGTGATTGTGAAATGGGCTTAAAATTTGTACTTTTCACTTGGGATGTTTTCGTTGAAATTCGCATCCAGCCTCTCGAGTAACCATTGCGTCTGGCCTCCGTCTTTGTTCGCGACATCGCCGGTTTCGACAATGTGAAAACGAGATATATACCGGTATTTTTTTATTTTTAGTCCGATTTTTGTACTAACACATCCATCTGCTGTAGTGAGTGGTAGGAATAAGCTATGGGCGGGCACATCAGCGTTCACCATGTGTCAAATCTTAATGTCATTACCTCATGCATGACTTTGTGTTAGACTATTTTATTACCTCATAAGTTTGTCATTTTCTGTGTCTTTGGTCATGAGCGTCTTGGCGGCCAAATGAACCTTCTTGTTTCTTGCTGCACCTCGGGAGGAAAACCGCTTCGAGACTGTTAGACAAAATATACTCATCTTCCTCAGGGGTTGAAGATTTTTAAAAACAAACAAAAAAACCTGAGTGTGTGTGTGCTCCCTTTATGCTAACGCCGATCAACTTCGGAGCACGCCAGAAAGAAGGAGCAAGCATCCTGGACATTTTGTGAAGATTTCGGGACAAACTGGACTTGTGCCCGAGGAACTACCTCTCAGGTATTCAGTCGGCTTCTTCGGAACATTTTTATCTCTGAGTTTGAGAGCCAAGCTATACCCGGCTAGCTATCATGGACATACGATTCCTGGATTTTTTAAATGTAGAAATTCAAGAGTTACTCCTTTGCCAGTGCCAGGGGCATTGATGGATGCTGTCCGGAGTTGCAATGTTACACATTCTTGATTTTAAGTGATTTGAGTGAACGTGAGTGTGCAAATGTGCAAAAGTATTTCGGAAAAAGTTGGGGCGCTGTTTCAAGGTGGGTTAAAACAGATTTAGTCATTTGTAAATTGTGTAAAAATGTGTAGAAAAATATTTTAACAGTACAAACACTAATCCAAAAGGCCCCCAAATTAGAGATCGACCGATTAGTGTTTCTTTTTTTCAGGATGAATGCCGATAGAGATCAATGTTTTTTTATTATTTTCTGTGAATTATCAAATTTTTACACAACTGTGCTAAAAAACAAAAAACGTTATACTTATTTTACAAGCAGCTGGTTGGGCCAAACAAAAATATCGGCCTCTGCTGGAGATTTAAGGTCAATTTGATAAAAAAAATGCACCAAGTTTGGAAAATACTGTATATTTTAACCAGAAGTATTGATTTTTTTCTTTTTAAGTGCTCAGTAAACTACACATATTTGTAACTAGAGCAACATAAAATTGAAATAATGAATAATGTTTTGAACAATCAGTAGGATATGAACTGAAATGGCACTATCCCTATCGGTACCGTTAGAATTTGTCATTGCAATAGGACTTGAAGCGTGACACATCAAATGAAGCCGGTTTGTTTTGATTCGACCCTTCAGCCCCACAGCTTTTCCTGTTTTGTTTTTGCTCCTACTAAAAGACTGACTGGTTGTGAGTGCTGTGCGGCTCTGGAACCACGGGCAGATATGATTTCTGGGGATTTCTACTTTGCGCGAGGGCCATACTTGAGTATATAAAGCAACATGTCTGTTTATTTTTTTATTTTCTTTTTTGTTTTTTTGTTTTGTTTTTTTTTTTCCTGTTGGCTGTTTGTTGACTTAGCCTCAGTCGGACACCAGTCCCCCACAAATACCTCACTTCACTGTATACCTGTTTCATGCAAGGAGAGCTCAAAATGGTTGCCTTCTCATCTCACAAATGCAAAATGCCATAGTCGTACAGTATATAACCATACATGACTTTTTACCATACATTTGAATGTCCGTAATGCTGCTGTGACTATTTTTCACAATACTCAAGGATTTGTAGATGTTTAATATGACGCTAACCATGATACTCTGTGGCTAATCTGTTTTTGTGTTCTTTTTTTCGAGTGAGCCTGCAGTCGGTTCACTCTTTCAGACTGACCTCAGATATTCTGACAAGTACCTCAGGCTTTTCTACATGTATATCAACTTGTGTTATGTATTTGATTGTGTTTTAGTAGTTGAAATATTTTATTGCCGGTCAGGCCTTTGTCGTCTGTGGAGATTTTTTCCCCTTTTTTCTAAAATTTGAAGAGGCTGACCACTCGAGGTGTTTGAAAAATGCTGTACAAACCGAAAAAAGAAGACTTGGGCGATTAGTTGTAAATAGCCTGGACAGAGTTCTTGTACACTGATGTTTTTTTTTTTAAAGACATAATCAGGGCATTATGGATGTTGTCATTTACCACAAAGGGATTCTCAGCTCCAATCCTGCAGGTGCATCTGAAGAAATTGGAAAATTGTGAAAAAGTGAATGTATTTTTGCAGCTTAATTTGAAAGTGAACTACATTATAAACCAGTCAGGAATTAGGACTATCTGCTTTTATTGATTTTAAATACTTCTAATGACCACTAATGTATATCTAAAACTATAGCAGAACCACAATTATACTTCTAAAATTATTGCAACTATAAGGACTGGCCCACTCTCTTTCCATATTGCTATTTTGAACCACTTTTGATGGATACTGACCACTTAAATGTATTTTTGTGTTGAATTATACTGTATATTCTGATCTACCCCCACTAAAGTTGCAGTATTTGAGATACTCTGGTCTGGCCTCAGTTCGTAGCCATCAGACAATCTTAACAAAAAGTATAGCTTGCACATTTTAGACCTTTTTTTTTGTTGGTAAACATGTACCACTTCCATTTACCTTGGACATACCGTTTTGTAAGAGTAACGTGGTCCAAGAAATTACTTTAGTAACAGTGAAAAGGTATTTGGGAAACTAGTAAAGTAAGAGTAACTTCAAGAGTGACTATCTGATTTATAATTTGAAGTTGATGTAATTTGAAGTCCAAAATGTTAAATAATGCATGAACACAAAATGAAATGGACACAAAAATGAGAAATGAAATCATATCTGAAGAAGCAGTGCAAGAAATGTTCAAATCATTACATATTCACATAGTAAGAGTACTTTTACTTCAATAAAAATGACTCAAGTAGCAGTCAAAATATGCTGCTAGAAAAGAAAAGTACAATTTCTTTCAAATTTACTCAAGTAAAATCAAACTTGAGCTCGACTTACTTCTACCGACTGCTTGTTTTTAATGTTTTTTCACTTCCAATTTTGCTGTTTAAAATTTTAAATATTCCACAAATTCCACTTATTTTTCTTTTAGACGCACCTGTATTGAAAATCTTTTTGACAACACGCCCTGCGATTTTCTATACTGATTTTAATGGTATCAGTTTGTCTGGGTCAGAAGCTGTGTAGGTAGCACTTGCATCATTAGAAAGCTCTATTGCTGTATATCATTGAATGGGGGAGAGAAGAGGAAAAAAAAGAGAGACTACAATAATAAAAATTAGCACGGGAGTCTTTGCTATTGGGCCCCTACTTCTGCCGGAAATGCCAGTTGAAACAGTATTACCTCTATATTAACCCGCTGATGTGACGCTAGGATCTGCTCAGATAAAGTTAACATTGGACAACACGTACTAGTATCTACAGGCCTCGTAAAAGTGTTGTCACGATACTAAAATTTCAAGCTCGATACTAAGGAACAGACTCGATATCAGTTCCGATACCACGATGACAACGAAAAAAAACACAATTTCTTTAGACGGTAGAATGTGATTTTCAACTTCATAGTGCTTTCTTTTATACTACGTTACGGTCTTCTGTCTGTGTAATCCCTCGGTCGTCCAGTCGTGCTCTTATACTTTTTCTGACACAGCTCGAGATCGTTCTAAAGCTCTTCAGGAAAGGTTCATCCCTGTCCTGTGAATGTGACTTTTTGTAGTATCGATACCTGCTCAGATGAGTATCTGGTTTCCGTTCTCGTTTTAGTATCGATCAGTATCCGTTTTTCGATACTTTTGACAACGCTAAGGCCTACGGTTATAGTCGAGTGTTAAAGATGGTGACTTTGAAATAATAATGGTATTATTCTATACAGTTTTGGGTATTAAAACATGCAGAAAGATGGTGTTCTGAAGAAACCACTTGTCTCTAATTGAGAATTCACGTGCTGGCCATTTTATTAGGTACACCTGAACCCATGGTTGCGGTTGTTTGAGTTGACGTTCTATTCAACTAGTCTATGGTATCGGTTTTTCATAAAATACACTGACCAATCCATATTGTATCAAAAATTGTTGATTGAGTTGTCACATTTCTTAACCTGATTTCATCCCTGATCATTTTATTGTGCAAAACCAAAGTAATTTTCACGAAACGTTTAATTTTACGACGATTTAATGCTGTTGTAAACCTGAAATAAGCTAAACATATAATTCAAATTCAATCATTCAGGAAATATGCTGTTTTTTCATATTTTGAATTGTTATGCTGCAACTACTTAAAGAGGGGGTATTATGTAAAATCAATTAATATTTTTTAAAGCTTTCTACCATGTTATTAGTCTGATTCATCAGCCGGTTTGTAGAAACCGTCTGACCTCGCAGCCTTAGAATTCGTTCATTTGACGGTAGGCGGGTACATTTTTTATTTAACCAATCGCTGTTATTTGGTTGTGACGTATGTAATGCTCCAAATCCCGTAGGAAGAAGGGCAATAACGTCTTTCCCCTTGATAAAATTCGCCAAACATTGTCTTTGTTCCAGCTTTAAATCCTCGATCTCGGGAATCGTTGCCAACACAGAATGTATGGCTCTTCGCTGATTGGCTGGTGCCCGAACTCGCACTCCTGGGGTTTTTGCGAATCATCTAGTGTGTTCTGATTCCTGACCTAGTCCCTGGAGAGAAATGAAATTAAGCAGAGACACTAGGTGGCGCCATATTATAACATTCTCATCAAAAACATGCCTGAAGAGCTTGTAGATCCATGCATGTTTGAGCAATTTAGCGATCTTTCCCAGGCCTAATTAGCTGTAAGATTCTGTGCAAAGCTCCGCCCACAAGCCGACATCACCCATTCTCCAAAAATATACAAAGGCGTGACACAAAACTGTACGCAACAACTTCACAAACCTGATGCGATGTGTAGTAGTTTCATTAGAGGGATGCGTGTGCTCTGAAGGGGAGCGACTTAGCACGGAGAGAAAAACAATGAAAGTTAACATGGTGATCTAAATATGTAGTAATACCCCCTTTTTAAGAATATTTACACAATCTCTTGAAAAATTTTCAGATAAGCTAAACATTGCAACTGTATTCAACTGCATTAATTTGTTTTCACGTCCCCCTTTAGGTCCTCGGCCCGCTAGTTGAGAACCGATGACCCGTTATAACACCTGAGCTGAATTTTCAACGAATGTTTGGTGCGAACTACTCTTGAAAAAAATCCATTCTCTTGCTGCTATGCCCAACAACTATCTGCATTAACCAGCAAAATAAACTAGCGCGTACCTAAGAAAATGGCCAGCTCGCGTAATCTCACGAGAATTCACGTCGACAACGGACTAGGCATAGTCCAGAGAGAGGTCCAGCAATATTTATTATACAGCAATAGTCATACGAATACCACGTAATTCAAGTCATTTAGCTGTGAGTTTGCGGCGTCTACTTCTGCCGATCTATAGCGCATCTCAGTACACCTGGATCATGTTCGAAATGGTCAAATTTTAGCATAGAAAGGTTAAAAATATTGGTAAAAGTTGGCGAACGTGTAAATCTAGGTGCTTATATTTCACGTATTGTGCCAGAAAACGGAGATTGCGAGGTAAAAAGTGAAAAAAAAACTTATGGATTTTTACCTACTGCTGTCTTAAGCCTAGCTCTTCTGAACAGAAAAAAAACCCACTTACCTCATGCAGTACCTTGTTAGAAACGCTAACATGGAAGTCAGTCATCTTCTGGAATAAAACTGAAAAATTTCTGAAAAAAAAAAAAAAAAAAAAAATCTATTATCATGTATATATTTACTTGACAAATGTAAAGGGTTTCTTCCTTTCATGTGTGAATCCTGTGAAAGCAAAGTCCTACTCTTTTTGATTTTCAGACCGCTTGTTCATTTCTTGTAGTGTTTTTGAGAGCGTGAATGCGACGTGCGGACGGATGAGTGGAGTCCCTGTTTCATGTGAATCGTGTGTGTCGATAAAGATTGTGCGCGTTTGAATTTCACAAAAAACTGAGTGCGAGTGGCTATGTTCTATGTATGTGAGACGAAATGCTTAGAAATATAAACTAGAAGAGAATACATCCATCTTTTGTATATGAAAATAAAGACACTGATTAACCATGCGACTTGTCACTGGTGTTTTTGCCTGTAAATGAATATTTAAAGTGTGTATGTGGTACATTTTGACTTAATTTTGTGGGGTTATAACTATTGTAAACATAAATTATAGTTTTACACCAATCAAGAAGCTATTTGTGAAGAAAAAAGTTGAAAACGGGAAGTACAGAGTTCTAAATCCATCTATTAATGCAAGGAACGTCTGTCTTTTTGTCTGTTTGTACCACACATAACTCTCGAACCGCTCATCCAACCAATCCCAAATTTGGAAGGTGTCATCCCAAAGGTACGGGGGTGTGCAGTACCAATTTTCCATGTTGTTAGGACAAAAAATGCCAAAGATCTGGTAAATAATATATGATAAATAGTGCAAAAGTACAAAAGTCTTTTTTGGGGGGAGTCGGGGTTAGAGTCCAAGTGTTTGGGGATAATACTTTTAATGAATAATAATAAATAATGATAATAATTAATTCATATTGGATAACGTCACTCCAGGGAGAATTCTGTCCCAACGTTCGGCACAATTTACACTCAAGAAACACAATTTAATGAAATCTTAAAGTATTAGTAGAGTTTTTGAAAGGAGTTTTACTAGTTATGAAATTCCCTAGTATGATGTCACATTTTCCAGCCACGAAGTCAAATTTTAAACCTAAAAAATGACCAAATTGGGAAAACGAGTGAATTTTTTCTTTTTTTTTTTTCTTTTTCTTTTTTTGATTTTTAATTTTGCAAAAATCTTAAAAAATATAATCTTAAATGTTTTTTTTTTTTAGTAAAATAAGTAGTCTAATCTACTCTGGTGCCCTTCCTTCTTTACTGAGACCTGCATAAAGAACAGTACACTATTTTCTTAAAAAATCTGTATAGAATCAATATGTTAAATGAAATTTAAAGGTGCACTATGTAACTTTTTAGTTGGGGTCTGTCACCTCCTTGTTTCTATGGAGATGTCTTTGAATTTCTACAGTATGACATTAAACAGCTCCATCTTACATTTATTCAATTACAGATGGTTTTAAAGGTCAAAATACCCAGAAAAACAGGCATTCTGACTGTGAGTGGGGTCGCCTCTCCACAGAACAGACCTGTAACTTGGCCTGGTTTAATGCCATACTGTGAAATATTACAGTCAAAGCAATAACACATCCATGGAGAAAAGCAGTTGGCAGATGCCCCACCAGAAAAATTACACAATGCACTTGTAAGATTGTGTTTTTTTGATGGATTTGACAAAAACATTTTTTGCAACACCAAAAAAAATTAATAAATAAATAAAAAAAAAGTGAAAGTGAAACGTGTCAATTGTTAAAGATCTTCTACTTGACACAAAACAAGGAAAAAAAAAGGAAACGAAACCTAAGTACATAATTTCATACTATGGTGTAAGAACTCAGAGCTGATAAATCATAAATAACCCAGATTTAGTCCTGGTTTAGTCCTGGTCTTACTCTGCTGGTTGGTCCTGGTTTAGTCCTAGTTTAGTCTTGGTTCAGTCTTGGTTTAGTCCTGGTTTAGTCCTGGTTTAGGCTGGTTGTAGTCCTGGTTCATTCCTGGTTCAGTCCTGGTTTAGTCCTGGTTTAATCCTAGTTTAGCCCTGGTTTAGTCCTGGTTTCGTCCTGGTTTAGTCCTGGTTTCGTCCTGGTTTAGTCCTGGTTTAGTCCTGGTTTAGTCCTGGTTGTAGTCCTGGTTCAGTCCTGGTTCATTCCTTATTTAGTCCTGGTCTTACTCTGTTGTTTTGTTCATCCTGGTTTTAGTCCTGGTTTAGTCCTGGTCCTGGTTTCATCCTGGTTTAGTCTCAGTCCTGGTCCTGGTTTAGTCCTTTTTTCAGTTTTACTACTTTACTGAGAAGGGTTTCAGTATTCATAAGGACTATTTTAGAGTATTTCTAATATTATGTACAGTTATTAAAAAAGCAATAAATAAATAAAAATACAGGCAAATAAAAAAAATTAAACAAAATAAAAATTATTATTATTATTATTATTATTATAATAATAATAATAATAATAATAATAATAATAATAATAATAATAATAATAATAATAATAATAATAATAATAATACATTAATTAATTGAAATAAATAAATAAAATAAAACTCCATACTGTCCATCTCTAAACATTTGTCCAAATATTAATCCAACTAAACCAACAAGCTTTAATTACTTATGAGTGGTGATGTGAAGTAAGTAGTAGTAGTAGTAGTAGTAGTAGTAGTAGTAGTAGTAGTAGTAGTAGTAGTAGTAGTAGTAGTATGTCGTGAACAGAGCCCAAAGGCAAACGTACAGTCCTGTAAAGTTCAATAGGTTAAAACGCAGTATTTATCGTCCTCACCCTGAAGCATTTAAACCTTTTAGTGAGACCTCCCCACACCCTTCCTCCAGGTATCACAAGAGGAAGATTACTCCAAGGTTGTCCACTAGATGGCAGCAACACGGGACCTGAAATTAGGAACAGAAACTTCACAAAACTGTCTTAGAATTTAAAATAATAAATAGTCGTTTTGTTTATCTAGTTTTTGTTTTGTTAATCATGTTTATTGATTTGTTTATATTAGGAGAGTCTGGAGATTTGTTTTTATAATCAAGAAATGTAACTTTAAAGAACTAAACCAAGACTAAGGGTGTGTTCACAGTTATTTGGTCCTGGTTTGAGCCCAGTTAAGTTCTGAAGATTTTGGTTTGTCTTGGTCTAGTCCGGGTTTAGTTTCAAGTTTTGTCCCTGTTTAGTCCTAGTTCAGGTGCTGTAGTCTATATGCGCAACAGGACTAAACCAGGACTAAACTATTTTAAAAAATGACTGAATCCATGTTAAACTGGGACTAAAGCATGTCAAAACTGAACCAGGTCTCAATCAGGACTGAACTGGGGCTAAAACAAGACTAAATCAGATCCAACTCAAGACTAAACCAGGAATAGGACTAAATCAGAACTAAACTAAACAAGCGCTAAAACATAACAGAACTGAGCCAGATTTAAAGCAGGACTAAAAAGGACTAAACCGGGATTAAACCAGGACTAAAACAGGTCTGGAACAGAACTGAGGACAAAAACAGGACTCTAACAGGACTTAATCAGGACTAAACCAGTACTAAAACATAACAGAACTGAACCAGGTCTAAATCAGAACTAAAAGGGGACTAAACCAGGACTAAACCGGGACCCTAACAGGATTTAACCAGGATTAAAACAGAAAGAAACCAGCGCTAAACCAGTACTAAAACATAAAAGATCTTAGTCAGGTCTAAAGTAGTACTAAAAAGAGACTAAACCAGGACTAAACCAGAACTAAAACAGAAATAAAACAGTTCTAAAACATAACAGAACTGAACAAGGGCCAAAACAGAACCAAAAAGGGACTAAACTAGGACTAAATAGGACTGAAGACTAAACCAGGACTCTAACAGGTCTAACGTGGATTAAAACAGAACTAAATCAGTACTAAAACATACCGGAAATGAACCAGGACTAAAAATTGACTTAACTAGAACTAAAAAAGGACTGAGGATTAAACCAGGACTCTAACAGGACTTAACCAGGACTAAAACAGAACTAAACCAGTACTAAAACAGTACCAAAACATAACAGCTCTGAACCAGGTCTAAAAATGGACTCAACTAGGACTAAAACAGAAATAAACCAGTACTAAAACAGTACAATAAAACATAACAGATCTGAACCAGGTCTAAAACAGGACTAAAAATTGATCTAAACCAAGACTAAACCTGTACTAAAAGAACTGAAATAGGTCTAAAGCAGGACTAAAAAGGGACTAAACCAGGACTAAACTAGGACTTTAACAGGACTAAAACAGAAATAAACAAGTACTAAAACATAATCGAACTGAACCAGGTCTAAAAATTTATTTAACTAGGACTAAAACAGGACTGAGGACTAAACCAGGACTCTAACAGGACTTAACCAGGAATAAAACAAAAAATAAACCAGGTCTAAAACAGTACTAAAACATAACAGATCTGAACCAGGTCTAAAACAGGACTAAAAATGGACTAAACCAGGATTAAAACAGAAATAAACTAGTGCTAAACCAGTACTAAAACATACCAAAACTGAACCAAGTCTAAAGCAGGACCAAAAAGGGACTAAACCAGGACTAAAACAGAAATAAACTAGTGCTAAACCAGTACTAAAACATAACAGAAATGAACCAGGACTAAAAATTGACTCAACTAGGACTAAAACAGGACTGAGGACTAAACCAGGACTCTAACAGGACTTAACCAGGAATAAAACAAAAAATAAACCAGGTCTAAAACAGTACTAAAACATAACAGATCTGAACCAGGTCTAAAACAGGACTAAAAATGGACTAAACCAGGATTAAACAGACATAAACTAGTGCTAAACCAGTACTAAAACATACCAAAACTGAACCAAGTCTAAAGCAGGACCAAAAAGGGACTAAACCAGGACTAAAACAGAGATAAACTAGTACTAAACCAGTACTAAAACATAACAGAAATGAACCAGGACTAAAAATTGACTCAACTAGGACTAAAACAGGACTGAGGACTAAACCAGGACTCTAACAGGACTTCACCAGGAATAAAACAAAAAATAAACCAGGTCTAAACCAGTACTAAAGCATAACAGAACTGAACCAGGTCTTAAACAGGACCTAAACCAGGACTAAACTTGTACTAAGACATAAAAGAACTGAAATAGGTCTAAAGCAGGACTAAAAATGGACTCAGCAGCACTATAACAGGTCTAACCCAAGAGGACTAAACCATCAACAGGTCAAACCCCCGAGGAGCCCGGCAGCCAATCAGAACGCGCCCTCCCTGTCACGTGACCAGCCCCAGTAAATTACGATTGACTTGAGTTTTGCCGATAGTAGCTCGCTCCTCTCCATGTACAGTGACCGCGGTCGCACCACTTTTTACCTATTTTGGACTTTATAAACGAGACGAAAATGCACCTGGACTTAAACTTTACGAATTAAGCTCGCTTTTAGCCGGATCATCCAGTCAACATGTTATTTCGCAGTCTCGCAGGTGAGTAAATAACACACTTTACTACATTTTTGGCTGTGTCGGCAAAACACTTTATGACGGGGTCGCCTGTTTTTGCACTGAGATTGCAGCTAGCGTCACTTTGCACATTTGTAGCAGGTTAAATCTTGCAAAAAGCTGTTTATTGAGCTTTGCATTAACGCCATTTCGGGAGCTTTCGTGTGCACATTTTAGCTTGTAATCTAAGATTTTTTTTTTTTTTAACTGAGGTGAACCGAAAACTACAGTGAGCAGCGGTAAGCTCCTCTAATACCCCCACTTAGCTAGTCGCTTAGCTTTCAACACAAGTGCAGACAAGACTTACAAATTGTCCCAAGTAATTGCATTTTTCCAGTGCAAAATCGATTAAACTAGTTGAAAAATCACATGTCTAATTAAATCTGCTTCTAAGGTACCATAAGAACCTTGCTTTCTTTGCAGTTCTGCATTTATTACCCATTTATAATATTTAAACACTGGTCATGTCCTATTATTACTTTTTTCATAATATGTTTAACATTTTTCTAAGTGCACAAGTTTCTTCTAATGAAAAATAAATAAATAAATGTGTTATTAACTGTGTAATGGCAAGATAGCACAATAGCTAAGGTTAATTTCAAAAGTTATACACACTATTTTATCAAAAGTTGTTTCTTGAAATTAAGTTTGCATAGAAATCAGTAATATTTAGTTGCTTTTATATAAGTTTAATACATATACAAAGTTTAAAGGTCCCATATTACTCAAAATTAACTCTTGTGAGCTTGAAGATGTGTGATAATGTTAAAAAAAGTTGTGTTTTGTTTCATTTACGTATGTTTGAGTAATCCTTTATTAAAAGCTATACTCATTCCCTTTATCAAAAGTTGTTTCTTGAAATTGAATTTGCTTAGAAATCAGTATTAAGTTGCTTTTTACAGAAGTTTAATTCATATAAAAAGTTTAAAGGTCCTATATTACGCAAAATTTACTCTCATGAGCTTTAAGACGTGTTATAATGTTAGTACCTCATCAAAAACATACCTGGAGTTGTGTTTTGTTTCATTCACATGTGTTTAAGTAACACTTTATTAAAAGCTATATGCATCCCCTTTATCAAAAGTTGTTTATTGAAATTAAATTTGCTTAGAAATCAGTATCAGGTTGATTTTTACAGAAGTTTAATGCATATAAAAAGTTTAAAGGTCCTATATTACACAAAACTGACTCTTGGGAGCCTTAAGACGTGTTTTAATGTTGGTACCTCCTGAAAATACCTGGAGTTGAGTTTTGTTTCATTCTCACATTTATTGAGTGACCCTTTATTATTAGTTTGTCTACATCTTTAAAGCTCAAAATGCTTAGCTCCACCTTGTGATGTCTCGAAGCAGTTAAGTTTAGCAATTGAAAAAAATCTATCTTTAACTATTAACTGTCTGGATTTAGCTGCTTTAGGTCATAAATTACACACTTCCTCACTAAACATTTTAGGTTAACTATTCTAAAAATGTCTTTCAACTTTTCTATAAAAAAGATAGCTGTCATATTTTCAAATTAGAGCAATTACAATCTCCAATTTTAGTGTGTGAGAAAAAAAGGTAATGGTTTTACATTTAAACATAACAATAAATAAATCTGTATGCTCTACTGTGTTTTCAAACTCCATGCACCTTCACTAGAATCATTTGGATAATTTCAGCTCTGGAATTGCCAAACTACTGAACTAAAGCTAAAAGGAGCTGTTAACTTGAAAACTACCACTTCATGACATCATAAAGTGAAACATTTTTGGAGCTGTAGACAGACTAAAAAGGCAGGATTACTCAAACATGTGTGAATGAAACAAAACACAACTCTGGGTATGTTTTTAATTAACTAACAATGCTCTAACACGACTAAAAGCTCACAAGAGTCAGTGTTGTGTAATTCAGGACCTTTAATTGCTTCTAAAACCATCTATTAACTGAAAAATCTTGACTTCCCTGTTCTAAACTACTTTTTGCTCTTTTTCTCTTTAGTGCCACTTATCCAGGAAGGACCCAGGCAGCGTCTTGTAATCAGGGGGACTGCCGCTTAGCCACGGCCAGCCAAGCCACCTCAAAGCGGGGGTGGTAAGCATCTGTTTCTGGGCTGTTGCTGGTGGGATGCTACGGAAAAGCAGCAGTAGTAGCGGAGGAGGAGGAAGAGGAGGAGGAGGGGGAGGGGGAGGAGGAGGAGGAGGAGGGAATAGCGGTGGAGCTAGGGGCCTGCCGAGACACGTTTCTAACCCCAACACAGGGTCACTCTCTGCGGGATCCACCAAGACCTGGGACGTACGGAGGCACAGGGCCCAGAACCCCTTCATCTCCATGGGGCTGACCTCTAACCTGACCGGGGCATCTGGAGTAGACCCCGAGTACGTGATGCAGCTGGTGAATGACGTGAGGTGGTTCGCCGATGTTCTTCTCAGTCTCAAGCAGGCGTTTCAGTGCAAAGGTAAGTGCAAGGCTTTTGTCAGAAGCTAAGCGGGTTTGGGCCCATAGACTGTGAATGGAAAGAGCTCATTTGCAAGTCGCCAGATTGCAGTTTGAATTTTTTTTGTTTGGGGGATAAGCCCCTTGAAATGTCTTGTGATCTCGTTTTCGAGGGGGGTCCTCAAATTGCAATTAGGAAGTGAGCATGGGTGCACTTCTGGCTCCATCGACTCCAGCTCCAATTCACTTTGTATTGAAAAAAAACGTCAGCCTCCTCATTTTGGTCTTAAAATGTCTTCAGTTTGTGTTTTAGATCTGGTTTAAGCTGCTTAAGGTCATAAAATACACACTTGTAATTGTTTCATTCACGTTGTTGGAGTAATCCTTTATTAAAATCTATACTCACCACTCTAGCAAAAGTTGTTTCTTGAAATTTAATTTGCATAGAAATCAGTATCAGTAAGTTGCTTTTTACTGAAATTTAACGCATATAAAAACTTTAAATGTCCTACGTTACGCAAAATTGTCAGCTTTAAGATGTGTTATAATGTTGGTACCTCCTCAAAAACTTACCTGGAGTTGTGTTTTGTTTCATTCATACATTCATTGAGTAAGTCTTTATTATTAGTCTGTCTACAAAGCTCAAAATGCTCTGTTCCACTTGTGATGTCACGAAGTAGTAAAGTTAAGGTTTAGCAAGTGAAAAAAATCTGTGTTCAGCTATTTACTGTCCTGGTTAAGTCTGTGTTTTAGATCTGGTTTAAGCTGCTTTAGGTCATAAATTACACACTTGCACACTAAAACGTTTAGGTTAACTATTCTAAAAATGTCTTTCAACTTTTCTATAAAAAAGCTCATTTGGTAATTACTATACTATAAAGTCTGGTGTAATGTTAAAATGATTGTGAGAAAAAAAACAACGGTTTTACATTTACTCTTTTTGGTCTTAAAATGTCCTTACCTACTTGATCCTGTTGTTTTTATTTCACTATTTTGTCTGTAAATCTATTCCTACTCCTATGGAACTGGCACCAAAGCACTTTGTGTTGCATTTTTGTATGAAAAGCGGCTCTATACATAAAGTTTGATTGATTGATTGATTGAAATTTGCCTCATAACTCAGGCCTCAATGAGCTTCATTTGACTGGAGACGAACGCTATGGGTAACGTCACACTCCCTTACTCCACTTCTTTATACAGTACAGGGCCTGGTTGGCACTTGAATGAGAGACCAGATGTTGTAGTGGGGCGGCAGTGGCTCTGGTAGTGCATATTGTTATTGTGTCCTTAGGCAAGACACTTCCTCCATGTGAATGTAATGTGTGGTTAAGTGATTGCTGGTGGTTGAACAGGCCACTGACTTGGGCTGTGCATTTGATCTAGTTTTAATTGTGTTGAGATAAAATTGTTTCTAATTCTCAAATCTGCTTTTTATTGTGTTAGACAGCACTCATTAAAAGTACATCTTGAATAAAGGCTATTTAACATACAATATTTTAAACTTTATTTATTCTTATTATTATTTGTGCTGTTGACCTGGACCTGAGTACAGTATTTTGTTTCTGTGTATTTTTTCATACTGAAATGACAAATAAATTCAGATTCTCAATATAATTATTTCAATATTAAATAATAGTGCTTTATTTTACCATTGTCTTATATTTGTGTAATCCATCAGTTGTCCAGGTAGATTCCACAGAGATCCATGGGCTTACTAGTCTTTATGGCAGGGGTGGGCAATGATTTCTTTTTTTTTTTTTGCCACATGAGAAACAGAAAATATTGTGGAGGGCCGGGCCAACTCGATTCTGCAAAATATTAACAGTATTTTGTTATAAAAACGGCATTGTTTGACGAGCTGGTAAGACTGGTAAGAGTTTATGTTACGACTAAGCAATGAAAAAGTGAGGCTGCTTTACAAAAAATGTAATTTAAAAAGCACTTCTTAAATAAAAGCAATGCAGCTTTAGTTCATGCGTGAGGTAAAAGGATAAAATATGTGTCCTGGGGTTTGCTATATGGTTTACTTCTGATTCTTCTGGTTCTGATACAGCTCCAGATTATTCTAAAAGTATTCGGAAAAGGTTCATTTCTGTCCTGTGAATGTGACTGTTTTAGTAGCAATACCTGCTTCAGTAGTATATAATTTTCCATATTTTTTGGTCCTATTTTGTAGTGTTCAATTATTGCAGATGCACAGCTTTTATGAATGTAGCCAGCCCTAGAGTGTACAGCGTACTTTGGCTATTATGGGAGCTCTTTGCAATGCTATGATTGTGTTAAATGAGGTCTCCACGCAGCGCTGACAGGCAGTTGGAGCCACCTGTGGAGTGTGCATGTACTGTGTGATTACAGCCCACGCTTGCATGTTCAGAAGTGTTCACAACTGAGAGCACCACACGTCGCACACACGCAAACACACACACAAACACGCACACACATATATGTAAAGCAACCAAGACCACACTACTCTCACAGACATCTTTGCATCTAAGCCTGCCACAATAGTTACTACGGCTTATATAATCTGTGCGCTTAATAGAAAGTGAGCTAGATTAGAATTAGGAGTTTTGCGTTTAAAGTTGTCAATGATCAGCAAAGGTTCATTCATTGTAGAGGTGGCCATTGATAAAAATTTCAATCTTTGACAGGCTCAAAACGGTTTTATTTACGTGTGCATATGACTGAAAGGTTTTCATTCTGCACTCTTCTCTCCTCTCTCATTTAATTTCTCTTTCCTTTTTTAAAATTTTATGTTGATTATTTATGTTTTGGTTTGTTTGTATTGTGATTTTAACATATTTCTTATTCTCTAAAGCACTTTGAATTACTTTGTGTACAAATTGTGCTATACAAATAAATATGGATGTAACAATAACCGAAATACTGTGATATTGTATCGTCAAAGTTTCTCACAATGATATCGTGGACCATCACAATATATCGAGTTACAAGTTTCTTTGCTTAAATTAAGAGTTATGGTGCAACAATAGCTAAAAAAAAAAGACGGAACTAAGACGAAAAAGAGGGAACTACATAGACCATGATCCTTTGCTCCATTTCAGTCTAGACTCCAAGAAGAAATAACAGTTCTAAGCACTTTTCACTCTTAGTTCTTTGGATTAAGTCTTATCAAGGCATTTTAAGAGAGAAAAGTAGCATATTAACAGTTTTAGCTGTTTAGCCTCAAAATACAAATATCGCAATAAATATCGTACCGTGAGCTGTATATTGGGAAAACATCGTACCGAGAGATTTGGATATTGTTAGGGTTAGGGTTAGGGTATCGTGAGCTTTCCCATGATATCGCAATCAATATCGTACCGTGGGGTTCAACCCGTGATGATATCATATCGTGAGATTTGGATATCGTTACACCCCTACAAATAAACTTGCCTTGCCTTTCCTATTTGACAATAACAATATTCAGACAGACAATATTCAAAAATGTGCAAAAACAGGTCTACGATGTGTGTACGATGTGTTTAAATATTAGACAAATGTAAAATGAATACAAAATCGCCTTCCAAAATTGCACAAATATGTTTTTATACCTATACTTATATTATTAAATCTTCAAAATCACGTTCACCACCTCTAGGCTACAGCCAATCCAGTGGAAAAGCAAGCATAAATTAAATCTGTGAGTGAAAAGCAATGCATTTATTTGTTGTATAAGCAATTTAAGTTTATTTACTACCGTATCAAACCATATGTATATACAGAATATTAATATATAAAGTGGAATTGAAATAGTAGATGAATCAGTGTGAGAAAATAAATGAGGAACTAACCAGCAAATTAAATTACTCACATATGACTCATATACTAGCTTCCTATTTTTGCTGATACTGATAAATGCTATCATTGTGCTTCATGTGTGTGCAATCAAGCACAAATTCAGAATGTTTTCGACTTGAAAAATGCCATTGAGAAACAGTGTAAGTGTCATAAAAGCTTCTATTATATTCTTTGTTTGTTTTTATATCTGCAGCAACATGCGTCATTACAGCTCTACATGTAACCACAAACTTAACCGAGTGACAAGCAAGGAAATGCATTAACGTACAGTCGTGCTGCAAAAACAATAAAGCACAAGGCTGTAGTTAGGCCTGTCATGATTACTACTGTACTGACTTATTGTTCAATACATGATAGAACAGTAATTTTTGGAGGTCAAAATTTATCACAGGTACTTTTTCTTTGTTATAGTGGAAGGTTTTTGGAGTATTTATGTGTAAAAAAGCAGATAAAATGTATTAAAAATGTCATAAAATGTATTAAATGTCATAAAATGTATTCAACATTTCAAAATTAAAACGTCACAAGTTTAATCTGGTTTTAACTAAATACTTTTTTTGTGTAGGTGTCAGATACACAGATACGTAATAGTTTTGGGAGCTTTTGCCATGCCCCCTTTTTAGTCGAGTAAAAATAACATAAATTTCGTGATATCTTATCGTCAAAGTTCTCACAATAATATCGTGGACCATCACAATATATCGAATTACAAGTCTCTTTGCTTAAATTAAGACCTATGATGCAGAGAGGGAACAGAGGGAACTACATAGACCATGATCCTTTGCTCCATTTCAGTGCAGACTACATGAAAAAATTAACATTTCTAAGCACTTTTAAGTCTTATTTCTTGGGATTTAGTCTTGTCAAGGCGTTTTAAAACAAAAAAGTAGCATATTTATTGCAATACTTTGTTTGCCTTTACAAAGTAATCGCAATAAATATCGTACCGTGAGATGTATATCGTGAAAATATCGAGAGATTTGGATATTGTTACATCCCTAATCGTGTGCCTCCCTGCCATATCGTGAACTTTCCCATGATATCGCAATAAATATTGTACCGTGAGATTCATACCGTGACGATATTGTATCGTGAGACTTGGATATGGTTACACCCCCTAGTGATACCTGATCATCAGAAGTCTCACAATAATATCGTGGGCCATCACAATATATCGAATTACAAGTCTCTTTGCTTAAATTCATTGAAAAACAGAGAGAA